GTTCCGGTTGTCAATTTCCCCAGAGCCAATGCAATCTTAGCCCGCGCACAGGCAATGCTCTGGGCACGAGATTGTATACTAATATAAATTGTTCTAATTTAGTCAATAGTATTGCACATGTGCTTTAATATTTCCAGGTGATGAATGGCCAAGTGGTAATTATGGTCTCCTTAGATCTAAATCAGGATGTCCAGGTGGTCAGAAGAATGGGTGGCGTGAGGGATGGAGGTATCAGGATATGCAAGACTCTAAGACCAGCAGTGAATGGTCAAGAGTATCTAATGGGTCACATATGCTGGGTGTCATAACAATAAATCAATATAATAATAGAGATGTAAATAGGACATTCTGCATGAAACAAAATACTGCAATACAAGCAAGGTTTTGGCCTAAAGGTAAGGTTTTTCTCTGTATGCAAAATTATTTATGTTGTATACGTTTATTTGAATGATTTTCCCTTGAAAATGTATTTTTGTTTTGACAGGTTCGTATTGTATTTACAAGAATGGAACGTGTCCGAAAGATATGAGATCAGGCTGGGTGTACTGGGATGATGAAGATTATGATAACAGAAATAGTTACGGAGGATTTCTACCAGATGGTTCATATGATAAAAATACCAAGATATACTATTGTTGTCAAACTGATGGTAACTGGTATGATTTAATTGAACTGCCAGTCAGTCAACCATTTTATTTACTAACATCTAACTCTACTGACACTCCCAAATGTCAGATAGTGAAGTGGGCAATTAGTTACTTGGAGTATATTGTGTTTGATACAGAAGATAGCAACAATACAGATGACCAGGGAGGGGAACATTTATTTCTGGATGGAAGAAAGCTATTCTATTGTTACTATGAAGGTACGTCATAACTCAGTTCGATCGTCAATTGAACATTCAAACAACGCTTTCCACAATTCGAAAAAATATTGCATTTGAATCTTATAACATGTACGGTAACTAAGAAAAAAAGGTTTGAAAATGTACATTTCAAAGTGTTCAATTGTTTAATAATCTTTTAATTTATAACATATGCTAACAATTTAAACACAGTCTGAATTGATTGTGCATGTATTTTTGGGTATAGCTCATATTTAAGCCTGATAATTGTTTATAGTATCAACAGGCCCAGGTTAAAATTCTTTGGCTCTGAGATTATGAAATTATGAAATAAATTTGAGTCAGAACAATGAATGATGACGTAGAGAACAGTGGGATTTTCAAAATAATGAAACAACAATGCACGTATTGAATATTCCAATTACTCACTGGATCATACTTTACTGGACGGTACTAATATTATGATAAATGCTATATGCAAGCACATTGCATAAATTTTAGCTTTGATTTTTAAGGTCCTTTGATTTTCTTTAATTCTATTCCAGACTGCCGCCGTACAATGACTGGTCTTAGTGGTTCATTTAGATCACATAAGATTGCAGTTAGTGAGATGGATCCACGCTCACAATATTGTTCCTGGTTAATTACGCTTGCTGAAACATACATCGTTGCATTGAGCTTTAAAGAGCTGACCATACCAAGTTGTAAAGATACATTTCTAAGAATATATGATGGTTCAAATAATGCAGCTCCATTGCTTGGCACATATTGTGGTTCAAATGCAAGAGCAGAAATCGTGGTTTTATCATCCACAAATAGTTTATACATTGTGTCAAATTCTGGAAGTTATGAAAGAAGTCCTAAAAATACTTTTACTTTTCATGCACAATATAATGCTACGAATTCGACAGGTTGGTATACTTGTATTTGTAATAAGTTAATAATGATATTTGCTGTTTTGGTGTAATGTACTCAGGTGAATAAGATACTTGTAATGTTACTCTGAGTCAGTGGCGTAATGGGGGAAGAGGGCGCCCTTAGGCATAGTTGGTGTGGGGCCCCCTGTTGACTGTTGTCATTGCTTAACTGAGATATATTTATATTGGATATTTATGGAATGTTCCGGAAAATTCCGTGTCTGGCGCAACAACAACAACAAATCAATAACAGTCTCCAACACACGTAACAACTAATAAGAATAATGTTTGTTTTATTTGAGATGGAATAAAAAAATCAGCCACGGTTGTCGATGGAGGCTTTATCATTTAGCATTATTAATTTTGTATTTTTCCATTGATCCTTAAATTAACCTGAATTTTTTACGTTTTCTAATTTTGTGGGAGATAGGCCGTGGCTGATGGGGGCCCCTGAGCGTTACGCCACTGCTTTGAGTGTGCTCCGGGCAGGCTTGAAAAATATGCCTGGCCACGGTGGGAATCAAACCTACGACCTTTGGAATACTAGCCCAATGCTCTGCCAACTGAGCTACGCAGTCTGGTCGGTTCGAGTATGTGATATTTCGGAACAGAATCTAGTTCCTTCGATATCAATGTAATCTAATAATCATGATTTTTTCTATGTTGGTGCCGTGCGAGAGTACTAATTCCGCACGGCTAATTATACCTGGGTATGTAAAAACATAGCCGCGGAGTGGAAAGTTGTCCTCCATTTTGTTTATGTCATGGCCAGTTTTCGACGTTATGCGCATGCACGAGTACAAACTCTGTCGAAGTAATTGTTTTTCATTTTGAAAGGACGTATTTCGCTGTTTTACAGCAATTTTTTGTTTTAAATTTCGTTAAAAACTTTACAAAAGTACAACACGGTTTTTTCTCGATTTTAACTGGAAATAAGCCTACAGTTTCATGAATTAGTGGCTGTTCAACCGTGAAACAAAGTTTGTATAATAGTTGTTTTGATGTTTTGATGTTGTCTTTGATAATTTATTAAATCGTTGTTGTGCTGGTTTGGGTAAGTTACTAAGTTTAAACATTTCAGTAGTAAAATTCCATGCCGTACTTGCTTTGTGTTGTCGGTTTTATTCATATCTGCGAATTTTTTAAGCCATTCTTAACTCGATAATTCACTTTCTACTCAAACAGATATTCTCCCACAACACAAATTGTTTTTGTGTGGTTATGCTGAGTTAAATCGAACAGTGTGGCATATCATTAACTGTGCACAGGATTGGAATTGAATTATATACTTCACTCATGACCTTCAAAACATTCTCTACTATTCAGTGATCTTCGATATATGATTGACTCTTTGCTACAGTAATGCATGTTCCTCAATTAGTTTGTGTGTATGTTACTCAACAGTTAACATTGGCAAGTGTAAACAACAAGTGACATAACTTTTGCTTCATATGATTACAATAAAGTTTTGAAAATTCGATGAGTATGGATTGACAAGTGACAGTTTACTAAGTAGCCGGCTGTATAGACACTTCGAATATTGTTTGCATGAAATTTTTATTTCCTGACTGCATAATTATCCGTTACAAGCATAATCACATTATAAAACTAGAGGGCACTCAGAGACTGCATACCACCGCCCGTTACTCGGAAGTGAAACGCAACCTTGGAATTTCCTAAGAAATCCACTTTGCAATTCTTAAGCATAAAAGATTTTAGGCCCCCGCGAATTGAAATCGAATTGCTAATAGATCATATTACTGTTGTTGTACTGTACAGTACTTGTAAAATAAAAACTTATTAAGTGTCATTAAATAAATGCATAAATTTTGCTTTATGCACTCGCGCGTGCAGTAATTTTCACAGTTGTGCTATTTTAAATTCCCAGGCAGCTAAACAATGTCGATTTCTTGGGAAATTCCGAGGTTGCGTTTTTTTTATACACCCTGTATTGAAGTAATCTAGTGTTGTTAGAATTTGAATGGACTGGCACTTTGCTGAACGTAATAATGCATAACTCCGTAAGCCTTGTTTTAGACATTGAATTTCGGTCGCGTGAAATGCAACTAAGACAATAGATAATGAAGGCCGAAGCTTAATGAGGTTTATCATCTCATTAGTGTCTTAGTACTGCGTGCATAAATTATACACGTCCTAATTACGCATTCAGTAATATTTTTTTAATTGACCGGGAAAAGTAAGACAAAATTTTGTTCATTTCTCGTTCAATTTTTAACCAAATTCAACCAAATTTTAATCAGTTCTTCCTTAGATGAATATGTTTGGTATTTCGTGAGTTATCGTGCTCACAGATAAACACACACACGTACACACACACACACACACACACACACACACACACACACACACACACACACACACACACACACACACACACACACACATACATACAAACCCAGATGATTACATAACCTCCTGGCGGAGGCCGGAGGTAATTAGTTAAATTTTCTCGGCGAGGGGGGGAGGGAGTTGCCCCTGCTGCTCTCCGTGCAGTGTACAGCCCTGTTAGATTTGTATTATGTTTGACTTTAAAATCTTATTTGCTATTATATTTATCATAATAAGTGATGAAAGTAAATATGGGTTTTTGTTTGGTGGCCCAACCGTGGACATACAAAAAAGTTGGCGGCCAATCGAAACTGGCCAAAGATTTTCTATGGCCCATCCCAAATCACTCCGGCCCACCCTAGCAGTTACTTTATGACCGGTCCCTTAGTTTCATAATTCATACAGTACAAACGAGTGCATGTAAGCTCCTTTAAGGTAGTGAGTAAAATTAACAGAAGTATTAGGAATTACTGTTGCTAGATTTTATCGCCAATGTTGGAAGTATTGGAGATTTGTATTTGTTGAAAGTATTGGAGATTATTTGAGGGTCAGCAGTCTCAGTATCATTAAAATGGAATAATTCCGGGTAAATAGTTTTGGATTTTGGTTTTCGAGTAAGGTCATTAAGGATTCTCCAAGTATGCTTCAGATCAGATTTGGCAGATTCAAGTTTCATTGCAAAGTAACGCTTTTTTGCGATTTTAAGAAGATGATTTAATTTGTTTCTATATGATTTAAATTTTTGTTCAGTTGGTGAATTCCTTTGTTTTAAGAACATTTTATACAATTTGTTTTTAACTGTAATTGATTTAATCAATTATTTTGATATCCAAGGTTTACGAGCCCGCGTTTTCCTTATTTTCCTTTTTTTGAGTGGAAAATTTTTGTCGTAAAGGTCATTAAACTTATTAAGAAAAATATTATAGGCAATATTCGAATCGGTGGATTCATAAACTGCATGTTTTCCAATTGAGGGAACCCAAGTTAACTTTAAACTTATCAATGTTTTCTTTGTCTATCATGAGCCTAGAAGTGGAATATTTGTTTGGGGATACATGACTTCTTGCTTTTAGGTCTGAAATATGAAATATAGGTAAGTGGTCAGAAATATCAGTAATTAAAATGCCAGAATCTGCAGAATGTTCATAATTGTTTGTAAAGCAGTTGTCTATAAGTGTTGCTGTATAACTGGTAATCCTGGTGGGTCGAAAGATAGTTGGACAATAAGAATACGAAGTCATAATTTCAAAAAAATCGCTGGTTATCGAGTTTTCTTCCATATTTAAAAGATTAATGTTAAAATCACCCATACTGAGATAATTTAATTTATTCGACTTATTAAGGTAATTAAGGGTTTTGTCAAAATAATCATTAAACAAACTTACGTCTGCATTAGGAGGCCTATAGATTATACCAGTTTCAACCTTATGGTTGTTTATTAAAAATTCAATAAATAATGACTGGCATATGTTATCGTCATTAATGCCAAGATCAGTTAATTGAACAAAATCAATGTTGTCCCTAATATAGAGAGCAACGCCTCCGCCCTGTCTGTTAATACGGTTACATGTTATTAATTTACAATTATCAAGCTCACACTGAGCTATGTTAGTAGATATCAGCCAAGTCTCAGAGACACCAATTATCGAAAAAGGAAACTGTAACAAATTAAGGTAATTTGCAAATTTATCAAAATTATGCGGAAGGCTACGAGCATTGAAATAAATAAGTGAGAATTGATCGAATTTGTTAGATTGTTCAGAAACAAAGGTATCCTCAAGAAGGTAATTATTGTTATTTGAAATATTCGAGTTAAAGAAATTAATGCTCATCAGAGTCCAAATTATTGACATTTGTTAAGGTTTCGGAGATTGGATTAAATATTAAGTCTTTAAAGGGATCAATATTAAACGTAAATTCACTAGTCGATTCGCGGAGAGCCAATAAGAATTCTTCGTCATTATCAAAGTGGTTGAATGGAAAAATAGAGAAGAGACACGGTGCACAAAACCAGTCCATTTTAACGGCTGTCTTCGCTGATTTAAAATTCAGGCCAGAACAATTCATATGGAACCATGCTAAACAATGTTGCATTCTGTCGCGTGGTGATTAGCATTAATGAGCTTGTTGCATTTAAAACATACACAGTTATTCATATATAATTACTGACGGTCATAATAACCTATTGTTTTCTCTCCGCATTATATCAGCGAATGTCGAGAAGTTTTAGCGTTCTTCTGAAAAATGGGAGCGGTCTTTCTTGATTGTAGGGAAGTTCCCAGGGGTAAATGTTTATACGGGCTAAAATAGCACACAGCATTATTAAAAATAATGCAGCGTACACACAGCATTATTAAAAATAATGCAGCGTGTTGATAGTGCACGCAGACATTATTCGCAATCCTTCGTCATCCTGACAAGTACACGCGATGACGTGAGCATCTCAAGATGAGAAGTTGACAGTGCTAAAGGCCCCTCATACAATATCATCGGGCGCCTGAAGCACTGCCAAAACGGTCGCTGTGAGTCTTTTCAGCTCAACTTTATAGAGAAATAGTTTCGTTTGCGCTTGTGGGATTTTATCCTAGATATACGCATGTGCAGAACACACCATAAGTTCTATTCCCGTGTTTATCCAGTTTAATACGCTCTTTGAATTAACCTTATCATTAATGATAATATGTAAACTAGAACACTATAATTGACCTCCGCTTGTGGAGATTTTAATTTAGGGCGATTAATTAAACTGAAATCTGTTCTATCACGATGCATTACATGCATGTCCTCACAAGGAGACAATTTCGCCGTCCATATTGCCCAAGGTTGTCAATTTCCAGGTGAAGTGTCTCATTAGATAGCTTCAGTTGATTGTAGGATTCTTCTAGACCTTTTACTTTAAGGGATAGATCATTATCGTCGAAGGACAAGCTTTCATACATTTCTTGCTTCATTGGTTTCGCCTTCTCCATAAACTTATTCATGACCGCGGCTATAGCTATGTCCTGTGAAAATTTGAGAAAAATTGGTCAAAACCCGCAGGAGCACAACTCGTTTGAAAATCAGTAATTACCATAAAATTCTTCGGGAGAAAATTGAATTTGAATATTACATTTTCAATGTTTTTCTTATTGCAGCGAAATGTATTTTATTAAATAACTCAGCGAGTTTTCAACATTTTTCGTTCAAACTTGGTCAGATAGTAGAACTAGTCTAATGCTTTCATGGCAAA